TGGACGGTAAGGACAGTCGACCGGAGAGGTGAGAGAAAGTGTTTGCTCGCATGTTGTCAACTGGGTTGGCAGCTGTACGTTTTCAATCGACAGCGGAGGCACCTGCAAATAGTTCCAGCTGAAGTGCTCTCCAACAACAACTTCTGAGATTGATCAGAACACACGTGAGGCGTGCTCATTACCTTACGATGGGGGCCGGGCACATTACAACTCTGGGTGAGTGTTGGCGTGAAAATGATCAACCCCAAAAATGATGCAAGTATAAAGTAGCCTGTGTTGTGTTCAAGAGAAGCTGTGTCCCAATTCTTTGGTGTCTCGGCAGCCCAGGCAGATACAGTTGTAGAAATAAACACGAGAACATTATGAAGGTGGAGACACGTGAGAGTTCGAAAGTTCCTCTCATGAAGGAGTACTTATGGAGGAGTTCAGGATGTGTTTGAGGGTACCGGAAGGTTGCCGGGGTCTTGCCACCTTGAAATAGACACGTCAGTACACATGTAGTTCATCGCCAAGACGTGTCCGATAGCACTGAGAAGCATTAAGAGTCGAGCTGGAAGACATGGTGAAGACGAGCATTATTGCCAAGGTACACTCCAACCGACTGGTTCTCGAGTCTTGTGGTAGTAAGAAGTCTAATGGTAAACTGGCATCTGTTTAGACCCTAAAAGACTTAGCAAAGCACTGAAGCGCAGCCACTACTTACTCCCACCATTGAAGATGTGCTCCCGAATATGAGTGGAGTGAAGGTCTTCAGTCTGTTCGATGCTAAACATGGGTTTGGCACGTTGCAATGGATTGGACAGCTCATATCTCACCACGTTCAATACGCCGTTGGAAGATATCGGAGGCTCCGGATGCCGTTCGTAATAAAACCGGCACCTGAGGAATATCAACGACAGCGCGAGGCACTGGAAGGCTTGCCCGGCGTGAGAAGCATCGCGATGATGTGCTAGTGCAAGGTGTAGGAGACACTATGGAAGAGGCTCTGGACATCATGACTCAATGTCCGTGCGTTCTTACAGCGGTGCAGCAGAAGAACTGAGTTAAACTGGGAAAAATGAAGCTCAGGCAGACAAAAGCGCATATATTGGGCACCTACTCACTAGTCGCGGCTGATGGCAGACCAGAAAAAGTGAGAGCAGTGGAACAGATGCCACCCCCTCGGGATGTACCAGCTGTCAGACGACTTCTTGGCCTAGCGAATTACCTTAGCAAGTTTGTACCCAAACTAAGTGCTTTGGTGGAGCCAATGAGGGTGCTGACACAAAAGGACATTGAATGGCATTGGGAGGAAAGGCAGGAACAAGCTTTTAGAGAGCTGAAAGTTGCCATTACGGAGCAGCCGGTGCTTCGGTATTTTGACCCAAGAGAAGAGGTGGTAGTGCAGTGTGATGCTTCAGAGAAAGGGTTAGGTGCGGCGCTTATGCAGAAGGGGCAACCCATCGCTTTTGCAAGCAGAGCCCTTACAGACACAGAAACTCGATACGCACAGATCGAGAAAGAGCTCCTTGCCTGTGTCTTTGGAGTTACCAAGTTCAACCAGTACGTATATCGAGGGCCGTTTGTGGTACAGACCGACCATAAACCACTGGAGAACATTGTGGAAAAACCGCTTCATGCGGCACCGAAACGGTTGCAAACCATGTTGGTAAAGCTACAAGGATATGACATAGAGTTGAAATACCAACCTGGCCCTACCTTGTACCTGGCGGATACGTTGAGTAGAGCATATGTTCCAGGAGATCCTGAACTGGATAGCTTCGAGAAGTACCTGAATAATGTCAATGTGCTGAGTTACCTGCCAATTTCAGAAAGTAAACTCGAACAAATCCGGGCTGCTACTGAACGCGACTTGAGTGTACTTAAGTCTACTGTGTTCGAGGGTTAGCCCGAGAAGAAAGATACTGTGCCGGGAGATATCAAGCACTATTTTAGTCTAAGAGACCAGTTGTCGGTGCACAACGGAATCATCTTGAAGGGTGACCGCGTGGTAATTCCCAACTCAATGAGAAGGGAAATGATGGACCAGATACACAGCTCACATGTTGGCATTGAAGGCTGCCTGAGGCGGGCTAGAGAGTGCCTGTATTGGCCAGCAATGAATTCGGAAATTCGCGATTTCATTGTTGCATGTGAAATCTGCAACTCGATGCCCAGGAAGCAGCAGAAGGAGACGTTAGTGCCACATGATGTGCCTGGTAGGCCATGGGCTACAGTGGGAACAGATCTGTGCTATATCGATGGGTTGAATTACCTCGTCACTGCGGATTACTACTCAAACTTTATTGAGGTAGATTATCTGGAGGATACCAGAGCAGAAACGGTTGTCACGAAGCTAAAGGCACAGTTTTCACGCCACGGGATACCGGATTCTGTCGTGAGTGACAACGGCCCACAGTTTTCGTGTGATGTGTTTGCAAACTTTAGCAGGAAGTGGGGTTTTGAGCATAACACCTCATCTCCTCGATATCCGCAGAGTAACGGTAAAGTGGAAAATGCGGTGAAGACGATCAAGAATCTAATTATGAAGTCGAAGATGGCAAAATCTGATCCTTACCTGGCTATTCTGGACTTCAGGAACACTCCAACCCAGGGAGTAGGATCGTCGCCAGCACAAAGAATCTTTGGTAGGCGTACAAAGACGTTGCTACCCACCACTGCAGCTCTACTCAATCCCCGAGGTCTACTGCATGACTGCGAGAGGGAGAGGATCACCCTACTAAAGCACACGGCAGCAGATTATTATAATAAGTCTGCAAAAGATCTAAGAGAGTTGTCGCAAGGTGATGTAGTACGGGTACAGCCTGCCCCAGGGGGAAAAAAATGGGTTAAGGGTTGTGTTACCATACAAGGTGATGGTGTTGGCCGAGATTACGTGGTACAGACCAACACTGGGACTTATCGTAGAAACCGTGTCCATTTGAGGCGATCAGCAGAGAGAGCGGACAACCTCTGCTCACCAGCAACTACAGAAGTCACGGCTACAGAGAGCCCGAGACAACTGGAGAGTCCTGCTGTTCAACCGGTGCAGAGACGACTGGAGAGTCCTGTCTCAGCTGAGCGACCGACAGCTGAGCCTACTGAGCCACCGCCACACGTAGAGGAACAGGAGCAGCCATTCCGGCGACCACCACCAATGACGTCCATCAGTCCAGCCAGAACCAGATCCGGGCGGACGGTCAAGAAACCAAAGCGTTATGGGGACGAGTAGATAGCAAAGAAGCTATCACCTGTAAATATGTAATGGTGATGTGGTAGTGACATTAAAGAATAAGTAACGATGTGAGTTTAGTTGTAACGACGTTGTGGTAGCCTTATATCTTTAGTATGAATTTGTAAAAGGGCTAATGTTGTTTATTTTATTATAATTTGGTTGATAATGCCTTGAGACCCATTCATCTATTTTTCTCAATGTATAACGTCTCTACTTTATTTGGCATCTATATCACCTGTACATCGTACGTGTTATTTTATAAAGAGGAAGGATGTCACAACACATGTTGTTATAAACAAACACCTGAGCGTTTGTTACGCCGACGCCACCTGGTGTGAACTATAGGAGGCTTAGCGTATATAAGGCACTGCCATGTGGCAGAAGGCCTCTTCTTACCTCGTGCGTGCTTAGATCTGTATCCCACCAGGTGCTCGATAATAAAGCATGGTGTTCTAACATAACTCTAAATACAGTACGTGTATCAGTATTGTAACACTATCTAATATGCTGGACCGTACCTCGCCTACTCCACTAACGAGTCTAGGGAGTCGCCTACGCCTACTCCCTAACCCTAACCCTAACCCTAACCCTAATCCTAACCCTATCCCTAACCCTAACCCTAACCCTAACCCTAACCCTAACCCTAACCCTAACCCTAACCCTAACCTTAACCCTAACCCTAACCCTAACCATATCAAATAGTTACCAGGGTACGTTCCGGCAGTACCCTGGGGGACATAGACCCTATGAGCCTTACTTGTGTGAAGATGAATTGCAGTTTGTTTCTCCAGTAAAGTGCAGTGACGTTTCTTGGTCATACAAATTTATAGTTAAAGGTTTTAGAACAATTTTATGACATTAATCAAATTCAGTATGTAGTAATTAGTGTTTGAACATCGCAAAAGAAAAGGTGATCGTGAGATAAAAACATGCCAATAGTGCACATATCAACAGGGTATATGTCTAAAAGAGGCATTTTCTATCGTTAGATGTTTTCTAGTTATATTAATGATATTGATTACAGAGCATTTCGAAGAATAAACGCGTTAATCTTCAGTAGTGGTACATTATGAGTTAGACAACTTGCTAAGCCCGTGTAGACACGTGGGACAGGCATGGCGTTATCACTCGGTGTGTATTGACTTGGGGCAATATGCACAATTCCGTGTGCTCTAGACTTCCAGAGATATTTGCATGTTTCGCTTTGCCGCCGTCGTTATAGGGGGAAAAACAACTTTGTTGTCACGGAATTCCCATGCATTTCGCACTGTTTAGTTGCCATGGCAACAGTGTACATGGGACCGGGCTTTGCTGATATGTGCTGCATGTGTTACGGTGTACGACAGTTGGCGATACTGGGCCTTGCTGACACTCAATGATCAAGACTTGCGGAGGACACCGTCAAGCGGTGGCCGTCGAATTTATACGTACGCATGAGATCATGGGTGGCTACGTGACTGTGGTCGTGTCCTAATCATACGATGGGCTTGTCAGAGTGAAAAACGACAATGCCGTAACTGTCATCAAATTGTCTATCCTCCACTGATCAGTTCCTCCTCTGAAAAGTTAGTGGTGCAGGTTTGGTCGAGTTACAGGGCTTAAATAATATCTCTATGCAGGACCAGACAGGCGACATCGGCTGTAAATTGTGCGGCCGTTGTAATGGTGTATGCGGGTTATTTATCGCTATGGCGACGGCTAATTTGTATATGGAGAGAGATTTTGCTATATGAGGGATGACTCGTAAATAATGTTGTGTTCGTATATTTCAGCCCCCAGGAAGTATACCGCAGCCGATGATGCCAAACAACATGGACCCACGGCAGGGTAAGATTTTTGCCTGTCCATACCATTCTCCTTATTTATTTATTTATTTACCTTTGTCCTCTCCCTATGCGTTTACGTTTCCTTCCTGTACCTCACCGATCTATGTTCCATTCCCCATTCTGTTCCAATCTATGTTCCGTCCCCATGTTTCCCTTTATCTATGTTGCATCACCATTCTTCCCTCATTTATGTTCCATCCCTGTCTCTTCTATTTACCCTCCCCATTCTTCTGTTCACCCTAACCCTATCCATCTATGCCCTGACCTGATCCTTCCCCCCATCTTGCAGGGAACAAATCACTAGTGCCCGCTTCCTTCTCTTATGTGTGTTCCCTCCCCGTTCTTTCCCCATTTATACTCTCTCTTGATCCTTCCCCAACTATGTTCCTTTCCCACTCTTCCTACCTATATGTTCCGTTCCCATTCTTCCCTCATCTATGTGCTGAAGCGAAGCAGTGAACAAGTCTGTAGTCATTTACCTGTGCCCCATTAGCAATAGTACGCCTCCCCAACGTTGGTACCGATTTCCCTACAATTAAGTTGAACAGAGTAAAGGATCGAGTAAAGCGTGCTGCGGCGCATATGTGTGTGCGTTAGTTCTCACAACATCTTCTGTTTTACGTTGCCAAGGATCTCACAGATATACACAAAATAGTGAGATTAAACCAGCGAGTGTTGGATTGTTTGGTGTGGGAGTTTGCCATGGAATTTACTTGTTCTGTTTTGGTGTTTTATGTATCAAATTCGTATCGCATTTGCTCGTTCCTCGGTGATGGAAAAGTTATGGGTATACCTTTTACATTAGATAACAAATAAGAAGCTTGGCATAAGTTTCACTTGGCCTTTTTGTGTAGATAATAGATGAAGTACCGTGTATTGACCTTAACAGCGAGGGTGTTCATTGTTGGCAAGGCTTTGCATTTCATGGATTTTTAACGCTGTCAGCTGATTTACATCAATTTACCTTCAACTTGCCATGGGCAATCTTACGTTTTTGTCAAAGATGTTATTGAAATCAATGTGTACATGCTAGGAATCAAATTTCAACTTCTTCTCATTCTACTTCTTCATTAAAACTGTCTGTTTTCATTTTTCATTTTAATAGTTGTCCAGAGTTGCCAATGCTTCTGATTTTGGCAAAATTTGTAAGATTTTAGCCTATGATTCCGCCATTATGATTCACTCACATTTTACTACGATTTTGGACCATTATGAGTACAAAATAATTCAATCTCGATGTAAAAACTGCCTAGAGAATTGTTGTCACTCTTGCCATGGAAGTGGCCATGGAAGTTGATATATATACTTCCAAGGAACGTAACACGCGCTCTCATTAGTCCAGGGGTGGTGACTCGACCAATGATTGTGTATGTTGTATTATTTTTGTTCTCATAGCCTGTATCATATTCTTAGTCTATGCCTATATCTTTGTGTTTGTTGTTACAATAAATTGAGTATGCATATGATTGTATTTTATTCCTTAATCGATGTGTAGCTGATATTATACCCAAGATTCTCACTTGGTGAAGAAAATTCCTGCTTGTAAGGATTCAAATTTCTATTACACATAGGTCAATGTTGGCAGCTCTGGTTGTCAACTTTATCAAAATAGCTTGTCTACTACATTGTATTAATTTACTTCTTATTGTTGAGCTTGTGTCTGTACATAACATGTTTTACCGTCGTTAAATAAGGTTTTTACTTACTACTTACTTACTTACCTGTACTAAAATTCGGCATAATTTGTTTACCTGTGACCCGTATTTGGGAGATGACATCCCCTCATGTCTGCCTGAGGTAATCACGCATGTGGTTCCAGCGTCGTTGACCTCATCGTTGACCTCGTCATTGACCTCGTCGTTGATTTTTCTTGGCAGGGATGAATCACATGTCTCGGATGAGTCATCCGCGGGCCATGGGCCCCGGACCCGGCATGAACCCGGGAAGCTACGGCATGCGGCCGCAACAGATGGGACCAGGAGTCATGCCTCCCATGTCCATGTAAGTCCATGGATCGAAATCCTAACGGGCCCGAGGGCCCGATGCCCGTATTTTAAGGCTCGGGCCTGACATTTCTACTACTAGCATGCCCGACGGGCTTGTAGAAAATCCACCCCCAGCATGCAAAACCGTCCACGGAACGGCGGCGAGGATGAAAAGTTACCGCAGTATCGCTCACTAGTAGTCACTGAATATGTTCTTTGTATTACTGTAAATAAACCATTGTAAAAATGTCAAATTTCAGTCTTATTTTTTTTTAAATGCTGCGGTATCCGGGGAATGATGCGGGCTGAACATCGCCTGGCGGCCTGTAAAATTCCTTACCTACAGGCCCGGCTGGCCTGTAAATTTTCAAACTAATTTCTGCCCCTGAAGTTCTTCACCAGTATGTCGCCGTCACCGGGGGTCAGGGGGGGCTGCATGCTAGGTAAGAGATTGCGTGTCACTGATTGATTTCTTTGCCCGAAAGGTACAACACAACTGGTAGCACGATAGTATTTGCTTTGCATTCTTGGTAGCGAAGCCGCAGTTAGTCGATGGCAAACCTCAATGTGTCACTCAGGCCATTGTGCCGACGGGGTAGCAAGTTAAAACGCGGATGGTGTAACAGGTGTAATAGTCAGGTTTTTTATTGCCTTGTTATGGTGGGGTTGCTATCACCACTCTCCCCTTTCCCAACCTTGCCCCATATAGTTCTTCACAAAAATAGCTATCTATAATTTATTTATTTATTTTAGTCAATTTGCCTTATTTAAAACAATTTTCTCAAGATACGTCCCAAAATGCATCGTGAGAGCACAGAATTTCAGTGAATGGTATTATAATCTTAGATTAACTCGTTTGATATGTGACTTTTGAATTTACGTGTTGAACTGCTGTTTTTACCTAGTGTTCGCAGCTGCGATTTTTAGGGTGCTGCATCTAATTTTTCCAACAACAAACAAAGGGTGGTTTGAAAACTATCTCTAGGGACAGTGATTTTCCGCAATCGCGGAAAACGGACGGAAAACACGGAAACGGACAAAATGTTTTCAAACGGAAAAATGCGGAAAACGTAATTTGAACATATTGGAAATTTCAATAAAATCATTAAAAAAACGTCGACAATAGCATTGGTAGTGATATGGTTTACATTCAGACAAGTTTCAGAGCAAAATGACTTACAATTACGTATTTTGGAAGCCCTCTGTTTCAGTGCCAACCCAAATGTCAGTCTGTGACCAAATACCTTTTTTTCATGCAAATATATGTAAACGGAATTTTGCATTTTTGGTGTGTACAATCTCTATGGCAAAACGGAATTTCCATTTTTTTTTTTACTTTGAAACGGAATTTTTTGAAACGGAAAATCACTGTCTCTATATCTCGTATCAACGGGTATTTATTTGATAATAAATCCATGCCATTAACCTATTAGCACCGTTAGTTTTTTACTGTCTCATAGTCTAACGACCGAATCTCTCTATTTTGCAGGGCAGGGCCAGGGCCTGGTCCAGGCGGACCAAGAGGATGGGCACCAAACACGTCATCGGTAGGTTCCCTGCCATCACGTGTGCAGCCTTTCCCGTTGGCTCCTTCACCTCCTCCTCCTCCTACCCCTCCACCTCCTCCACCTTCTCCTCCTCCTCCCTCCTCCTCCCTCCTCCTCC